CCGCACCCCTGGGACTGAGAACGCGGCACTGACTCCGTGGAACAGGCCTGCCTTCCGCTTCTGACAAGGTCGTCCTGAAAGACGGGACACGGTTCTACGCCAAGATCAATACTTCAAAGGCGTCAGCACAGACCTGAGAGTGGGGCCCGGGAGGGAGGGAGAGCGAGCGGACAGACCTCCACGTGCTGGGGGCCAGGCTGGCCTCCCCGGTGGTCACTGCTGAGGCGGACACGCTCCTGGGCCTTGCAGCTGGTGAGGCGCCCACCTTCTCGGGCCAGTGCCAGCCGGGCAGCCGTGACCACACTGGGCATGGGCTCCTGACACCAAGGAATCCTGAGGCTGGGCCGTTTTCACTTTGTTTCTGCTTCACATTAATGACAAAAGGGCTGGAACAAGTTTGGAAAAACTGAAACCCCACCTCTGAGGCGAGTGCCCCCCATGGAGACAGCCCCGCGGCCCCAGTGGGAAGGTCCTCCAACGGCTGCGGCCCTGACCCAGCGATGGTTTTCTAACATTCAAAGGTAGTGTTATCTGCTCATTCGCTTAACAGTTTTGGGGAAAAGGGCAGCCATATTGAAAATAATGTTTCTAGTATTTCCTTCAAGATGGTTTAAAACTTGGGAATATCAGTGACTCAATCACAAGATTTTACTGCTGTCAAATGTGGAAATAAGTTAATCTGCTCCCCAAAGTGCACTGCAAACCCAAGTCTGGGCCCTGACGGAGACGCCCATCAGGAGGCAAGGATGGCGGCCTCTGCCTGCGCCACGCCCACGGCAGCTGCAGCCACCGCCCCGACCGCGGACACCGCCAGGACGTAGGAGGGAAATCTGAATCAAGCCAGGGTTTTCTCAAGACAATTTAAAAGTTATGAACGAAAAACGCTCCGCAGTCCCATGTCGGGCAGGTGGTTTCCATGAGAACGAAACCCCACGTGCAGACGTGGTCGGGGGCAAAGCTCTGGGCTTCCCTTTCGGTTCTGTGGTGACTGCCCGGGGTCACGAGCGAAGGCCGGGCGACCAGCCAGGAAAACCACCGGTCAGCCTGGAGGCCTGGACCCCACAGCCCCCGGGAGCCACACAGTCTCAGCCTGACAGGCCCACCCCAGCTCTAGTCACAAACCCGGGGGTGGAGAAGGGCCCGGGGGAGAGAGGGCCCCCCAGCCACGCGGGACCAGCTGCGAACCCTGCAGAGCATGGGCCTTCGTCAGAAACGCGCCCGCTGCGTGTTCCTGCCCCGCCACGCCGGGGGCAGCAGGCTCCGGCCACACGTGTGCCTGGCGGATGCTCCCTCTTCTCGGGGGGGTTCTGAGCCCCAGGGTGGAGAGGGACTCCAGGAAGAAGAATCGCATCTTGCAGAGAATGCAGTACTTTCCAGAAGTTTCTCCGGGGTCGGCAGGTGGTGCCCTGGCCGAGCACATCTGACCGGCACAGCTGTGTTCTGCGAACAGACCCACAGAGCGAGGAAGCGGCCACGACTCCGCGTGCCAGCTCTAGCCTGGCCTCTGCTCAGCCCCAGAGAGGGCCTCCCCCGAGGGTCACCACCAAGCCACCACGCGGCCGCACCCGCCAAAGCCACACCTTGGCCGGGAGGACTCAGGGTCGCGTCAGGAAATACACGATTCAGTCGGTGGTAATTGTGAAACAAGTTTAGCAAAAATATATTGAGAATAAAATCCAGAAACGTAAAGAAACGCCAAATGAAAAGAATGTACAAAGTCTTTCCCCAGGTGTTGGTAAGAGCCAGGGCGGTGGAGACGCCAGCGAGCCGGGCTCCGAGGAGGGAGCTGCTCTCTGAAGGCTGACAGGGCGGGGACCTTAGTTCAAGTCCGCAGAGAGCAGACGACCCGGGGAGCTAGCAGTCCCATCGCCACCCTGGGCCAGCTGTGTGCTACGATGAGAAGGGCACTTGGAGGGAAATTTCACATTAGTACAATTCAGCTGGTTCATCAAAATCACGGATTCCGAGGACTCCGGGGTCTGAGCCCCAACAATTCAGAAAAAACTATGCTACAGGTTTCGGGGGAGATAAAAACATTTCATCTGTCAATCATAACTTTAACCTAAAACCAGAGGGAGGGAAGTCGACATTCTTGGCGATTCAAGTAGCTGTAATGCTGTGTCGTCCTGGGCGTTCGTCCCAGGCGCTCCGAAGCCCCGCGGCTCAGGCGGTCAGTGCAGACGCAGCGGGCCACCAGATGGCTCAGTGGTGGAGGCG